GCTGAGCACAGAGCCTGGCTCGGGGCTCAATCCCATAGCCTATGAGAACTTGACCTGAGCCGAAATCAAGAGCTGGTGGCTCAACCGACTGAGCCACCCAGGTGCCCCGGTAGTGGAGATCATTTAAAAATGGTAGTGTCACTATAGAAGAATAACCAAAGAGGAACACTGTTAGGGTAAATAAGCACAAGAGAGAATTTTCCCGGTTGCCCAAAAAGGAAAGAGACTTCCCCTCCTGCACTTTTCTTCAAGGTTTCCTCGAGAAACCTAGGATTTGTGAATCCTTCTCTGCCCCTTTGATATGTATGTCCATCTTTTTAAGACCTAAATAAGTCTGTTGCCAGCCTATAACCCTGGAATGCCTTTCTTAAGAGTATTGGAGTCATCTCTTTGAAATGTGGATCTCAACGAAGATAAGCACCCAGTTCCCTGTCACCTGCGAGTTTAGCCTAAGCACCTGGCTCCAAGCTATAAGCACCCGCTTATCACGGAGATAAGAGTTTAATCTTTCCTCCGGATAAAGGCAATTAGCTAGCACAGATGACTATTATTACAACTACCTGCTGAACTTAGGACTTGCCTGGGAGTATTTAGCTCTCACCGTTGGATGCCACCGTAAAGCCAGGCCAATGAGCTGCATGCCTGGCCTTTTTGGCTCCTCCCATCACTTCTGGATTGTATGAAACTGCATCTTAGAGTGTGCAGTCTGGCTTCCCAAACAGCTGCCGAAGGGGTCAAGTGATGCAATCTAGAAATGTGGGGAGTTAATGCCTGTGGGGTGCATTTTGATCAATAAAAAAAAAGAACTGGGAGTGAGTTAGGCAGGTAAATTCTCTCCTCCCTCCCTCTCCTCATGCACTGTTCTGAGCTGGATTTCTCTGTGTCATCTGTCTGGAGACGTCCTATATGCCCCAAAGTCTGTTTCTTTTGGGGATCTGAGCTTGAACAATGGTCATTCGAACTCGTGAAGCCAATGTTAAGTGTTGATTCGGGACAACCCAAGTCTGAGCAGAGTAAAATTGTCCCAAGATAAAAAGGGCAAATATTAGGATTGGGGATAGATGGAAGTGATGCAGGCTGGCTGGGTCCAGGAACCTAGAGGGGGCCCCCCAGAACCAGCTAAGAAGGTCCTTGACTTCACACAGGAATAGAAATGAAGAATTGAAGAGGAAATGAGAGCAGAGTTTGTTGAACAGTGTAAGTGATAGAGTACAGCAGGTGGAGTGTCTGGGAGACTAGAAAGGAGAGGAGAGAGAGACTCGTCTTTGCTTGAGGTCTGAAGTTTTTCTTTTCTTTTCTTTTTTTTTAAGGAGGAGATTTTAGGGCCCCTGGGTGGCTCAGTTGGTTAAGAGACTGCCTTTGGCTCGGGTCATGATTTCGGAGTCCTGGAATCGAGTCCCAGCATCGGGGCTCCCAGCTCAGTGGGGAGTCTGCTTCTCCCTTTGCCCCTCCCCCCTCTCATGCTCTCTCTCTCTCTCAAATAAATAAAATTTTTAAAAATATATAAAGGAGAAGATTTTATTTTTTTAAATTAAAAAAAATTTTTTTTTAAAGATTTTGTTTATTTGACAGAGAGACACAGCGAGAGAGGGAACACAAGCACGGGGAGTGGGAGAGGGAGAAGCAGCCTTCCCATGGACCGGGGAGCCTGATGTGGGGCTCGATCCCAGGACCCTGGGATCACAACCTGAGCCGAAGGCAGACGCTTAACGACTGAGCCACACAGGCGCCCCCATTTTTTTTTAAAGTAAATTCTACCCCCAGTGTGGGGCTCAAACTCAAGATCCTGAGACCAAGAGTTGCAAACCACACCAACTGAGCCAGCCAGGTGCCCCTGGGGTCTGAAGTTTTTATTGAGGATGGTGGTCTGGTATACATGTCCTCTCAGGCACTGAGGAACTGGTCAAAACAAGGACGAGTGCTCAGGTGTCCTCCATAAGTCACATAGGCCCTGGAGCCAGGAGTCTTAGTGTCGAGGTGTCTGGAGCCAGTGGTCTGGAAAACGTACATGATGATTTGCCCAGTCACTTCTAAGATGTTATCTATTATGCTGGAAGACTACAAAGAAATCATTAACTCCATGACCTTTAACAAGGAGGACATACACTATCTGTTCTATAAGTCGTGTGTAAGGTGGGGGTGTAGGTCCTAGCAAGAATAGAGGCAGCAGGGGCGCCTGGGTGGCTCAGTCGGTTGGGCATCTGCCTTCAGCTCAGGTCATGGTCCCAGGGTCCTGGGATCGAGCCCCGCATCGGGCTCCCTGCTCAGCAGGGAGTCTGCTTCTCCCTCTCCCACTCCCCCTGCTTGTGTTTTCTCTCTTGCTGTGTCTCTGTCAAATAAATAAAATCTTAAAAAAAAAAAGGAATAGAGGCAGCAATAAAGCAGTCTTTCATGGGGTCCCTTCAGTTTCTCTGTCTTAGAAGGAATAAAATAACTGAAAGAGGACTTCAGCGGCATCTACTTTGACCTCAAACTTTTTTTTTTTTAAAGATTATTTATTTATTTATTAGAGAGTGAGCAGGAGAGAAACAGCATGAGAGGGGAGAGGGTCAGAGGGAGAAGCAGGATCCCCACTGAGCCGGGAGCCCGATGTGGGACTCGATCCCAGGACCCTGGGATCATGACCTGAGCTGAAGGCAGTCGCTTAACCAACTGAGCCACCCAAGCGCCCGACCTCAAACTTTCTAGTTGGGTTCTTCTTTCCAGTTTGTCTCTTGGCTCAGGTCGAAGACCCCAGGGCAAAGCATCCCCAGACAAGTACCCCCTCAAGCAAGAAGGACTGCCCTGAGCCAGGAAGACCCTCACGTGTGACTGACCCCAAGACAATGATCCCTTTGACCAACTTCACGGCCTACCTGCACTTACCCACCCAACTTTACCCCACACTTTCCGTATATAAACCTGGAAGTGTTCTCTGGCACTTTGGAGGCAATCTTTGAGACACTAGTCCGCGGTATTCCCGGTGATATAAATTCCTTTATTTCACCACCACTTGGTCCTTTGCCATTGGATTTTGTCAGTGGTGAGTGGCCAAACCTGGGCTGTTTGGGACTCCCCCCCCCTGCCACCGGAGCCAGGTGCTCTTGCTCTCCTACACCCCAGCTACAGAACCAGTAGTCGAATAGCTTAAGGGTGATATTTTGGGGGAGAAAAGGTGGTTTAAGTGATTTTTGCAATGAACTGCTCAGCTCTGTAAAATACATACTTCCTTCACCCCCATCAGTCTTCTCTGTGAAATCTGCAATAGATTGCCCTTTTAGAATGATATTGCCTTGCGAAAGGAATTTTCTTTTCAGAGAATAAAGCAGATGGAGTCCTGTGCTAGCCTGGGTGCAAGGGAGCCTCCAGAGAGAGCCTGGGGCAGGAGCAGGTCTCAGAGGACATCAGCCTGCCGTGTGAAGAAGCCCAGGCTGGCCTGTTTGAGGATTAGACCACAGGAAGCAAAGATGCATGCTGGTGGAGGCCCCTACCAGCCTGCTAGCTGACTTTAATTGTATGAGTGATCCCAGGCAAGACCAGCAAAAGAACTCCCTGGCCCACCCCAAGAGCTGACCCATAAAATCGGGAGCAAATAAAATGTTTGTTGTTATAAGCCAAACAAAACAAACCAAACCCCCAAAAAACTACACCCCCAAAGGGACCTGCACATAGCCAGGTTACAAAATACTATAGACAATAATTTATTTTTAGTAGGCTCCATGCCCAATGTGGGGCTTCAACTCACGACCCTGAGATTTAGAGTTGCATGCTCTACCCACTGAGCCAGCCAGGGGCCCCTTATATACAATAACTGATGGGTTTCTGTATGCCAAGAAGAACCATTTAGAGAATAAAATGGAGGAAAATCACATTCATATAGTGACAAAAATATATAACATATCTAAAAACAGATGATTGGAGGAGGATGGCAATTAGAGCCTGAACGTCTATCTCCCATCCCACCCAAGATTCTATTGGTTTGGGAAGAAAAGTGTTTTTAAGGATAAATTCTTTTTTAAATTTTTAAAAATTATTTTTATTATTTTTTAAAAGATTTTATTTGTCAGAGAGAGAGAGAGAGAGGGAGAGCACGAACAGGGGAGCGGCA